CTACAGTGTTACTCTTCTGTCTGAGATTTTGCGGTACATGTCTATCAGTTACATAGCTGCTACTCCCCCCAGAATAATAGATTCGTAGATAATTATTCATTTAAGTGGATTCATTTTTTTGTTTGTTTGTTTTTGAGTCGGAGTCTTACTCTGTCAGCTGGGCTGGAGTGCAGTGGCACAGTCATGGCTACTGTAACCTGGACCTGCTGGGCTCAGGTAATATTTCCATCTCAGCCTTCCAAGTAGCTCACACGTATATACCACCATGCCGGGCTAATTTTTTGATTTATTGTAAGACGAGGTCTCACCAAGTTGCCCGGGCTGGTCTTGAACCCCCCCGGGCTCAGGCAATCCTCTCGTCTCGGCCTCCCAAAATCCCGCAATTATACTGTGTCCTGCTTAAATGGATTCTTAAACAGGTAAATAACTGTATTTACCCATATTTAGGGAGTTTTGATAATAACCTCCAACTTTAGCAATTGGTAAGCTATGTTTAAAAAAATCAGCTGCACAGTTACAAGGTAAGGAAACTTTATTTGATAATACTGGTTGTTCAGTGGTGATTAAAAAATAAGTGAATGACCTGGTGTTGACACTGTTTTCAATCTTGATTTCTGTTATGATCCTTTTTGAAAACAATAACAAAGATTTTAATTTCTGATGTATTTCAGGATGTTTGGCATTCAGATTAGGAAAGGTAATAACTCCAAACTTTGCTGATCAAACAGTTTCTATAGTTTGTGCACTTGGATTTTTTTTTTTTTTTTTGAGTTGGAGTCTTACTCTGTGGCTCAGGCTGGACTGCAGTTGCATGTTCATGGCCACTGTAGCCTTGACCTGCTGGGCTCAGGTGATCCTTCTGCCTCAGCCTTCCAAGTAGATGGAACTACAGGCATGCGCCACCACACCCAGCTAATTTTTATTTATTATAGAGATGAGGGCTCGCCAAATTGCCCAGGCTGGTCTTGAACCCCTGGGCTCAAGCAGTCCTCTCTCCTCTGCCTCCCAAAGTGCTGGGATTGCAGGTGTGAGCCACCACACCTAGCTGGTGTACTCAAGCAGTCCTCTCACCTCTGCCTCCCAAAGTGCTGGGATTGCAGGTGTGAGCTACCGCGCCTGGCCGGTGTGCATCTGTTTTGTGCTAAGGACTAAACTAAGTGCTAGGATACCAAGCTGAGAAACATAGCCCACTTGGAATAGGGCTCCACATAAAAATAACAGGTTTGCCAGGCATGGTGGCTCATGTCTATAATCCCAGCACTTTGGGAGGCAGAGGCAAGAGGATTGCCCGAGCCAGGGGTTCGAGACCAGCCTGGGCAACTTGGTGAGACCTTGTCTCTAATTTTTTGATTAGAGACAAAAAATTAGCCAGGCGTGGTAGCGCATGCCTGTAGTTCTAGCTACTTGGAAGGCTGAGGCGGAAGGATTGCCGGGCCCAGTAGGTCAAGGCTGCGGGGGCCATGAGCATGCCACTGCACTCCAGCCTGGGTGACAGAGTAAGACTCCTACTCAAAAACAAGCAAAGAAACAAAAATAACAGGTTTTATGGGAACCCAGAGAGGGAGATCAAAGACCACAGAGGCTGGCCAGATGCACAGAGCAGGGACTTCCCTCAGTCTCTGTTTCTTAATGTGTAAAATGGAGTCACCAGTAATTTATCTCACAATTGTCCTAAGCATTAATGAGGATACATATGGGAATCCTCTGGAACAGATTCTGACACACAGTGATTGCTCGGGAAATGGTGTGGAACCTGTCCTTTTTTGAAGGGTTTGTAGTTAGGTGTTGGCCCAACAGAGAAGGGCTTTCCCCGCAGAAGGAAAGATATAGCCCAAGCAAGATGGTTGAATTAGGGCCTCCCTGGAGCTGAAAGGCATTTAATCTGGTTGGAGTGGAGAGAACAGCTGGAGGTATCGCTGGAAAGGGAGGCAGGGAGCGATGTTCAAGTCAGAGGTTTTCTGCCATGTTGAGGAGTCTGACAGGCGTTTGGGAAGAGTTGTAGAGTCTTTGAAAGCCTCAATTAGGGGAGTGCCCAGAGCAGCTTTGCCACTTGAAAGTCTGGTTTGTTACAAATGTGTATGGAGCAGCTAGGAAGTCTAATAAGAGCAATGGTACTCAGCCTTGGCTGTACATTGGAACCGTCTGGAAACTTTTAATGGTCTGAGGCCCAGGTTCACCCAAGATCAATTGTATCAGCAGCTCTGGGGTTGACCCTGGGCATTGGTATTTTTTTACTGCTTCCCAAGTGATTCTGTTTCACAGCCAGTGTTGTGAACCACTGATTTAGAGGGTAACTGTTCAAACTATAGGATAAAGTTCAAATCAAACAAGGGCCAGCAGCTTAAAGGAACCAAAATAAGGAGATAGCAAGTAGGATATGGTGGTCAGTCGAATGAGGAGGGGATTGAGTAAAGGTTATTTCTAGATTGGGTCACTGGATGGATGACGATCATATGTCAAGGCTCAGCCATATTTCAAGAGTAAGAACATGAAGGAAGAGCACTCTTGGGTGCTAAGCCTTGCTGAGTGGACATGAGAAAGATTATTTGATTTTAAAATGTGGAATTTGAGGGAGAGTAATCCATAATACCAAATGGGTAGAGAGAGACACTAAAGGGAAAGAGCCAATAGAAAGGTTGAAAATTGAGGGGACAGAGTAGATAATTGATGGATGATGAGATCCCAGAAGAGACAGAACTCACAAAGCAGAGATGAAAAAAGTGCTTTATGTGAGAATGAGAGACATTTGCATTCAGAGAGAAATAAGAAGTATGTGAGGACACAGATAAACTCACAGGTTAAGGAGGATGAGCTGTAATGTTGACTGGTGTCTGCTTCCTTACCACAGGAGATGTGGGTATCTGCTTGGGGGTTAAGGAATGTGGTCAGGCTTTGGAAGAGTCCAAGGATAGTCCAAATAAGGAAGGCGGTTGAGAAGGAAATGGCTTTCTGTTCCTGCTTCTAAATGGTAGTTTTCCCCAGGGTTTCAGTATTGGCCATCTTTCCTATACTTGCAGGGTGATCTCCTTTGTTAATGGCTGAAGTTTGTCCAGAAGAGTTAAATAGTTGATATTATAGTTTAGAAAATTATTGGTTGACTTTTCATTTTGGGGGCACAGTTTTTTGTTTTTTGTTTTTGAGTCGAGGTCTAACTCTGTTTTCCAGACTGGAGTGCAGTGGCATGATCACAGCTCACTGCAGCCTCAACCTCCTGGGCTCAGGCGGTCCTCCCACCTCAACCTCCTGAGTAGGGACTACAGGCATATGCCATCACGTCCAGCTAATTTTTTATTTTTTGTAGAGATGGGGTCTTGCTTTGTTGCCTGGGGTGGTCTTGAACTCATGGGCTCAAGCGATTCTCTTGTCTTGGTGCTTCCCAAAGTGCTGGGATTACAGGTGTAAGCTGCTGCACTCAACCCTGGAGGTGGGTTTTTTTGGTAGCAGTTGGCTGCATTAATTTGAAATGTAAGATATTGAAATCACTTGAAAACATGATATAGCTCCCACTGTTTGTAACACTAATAACTAATTTTCTTTAATATAATGTTTTTCTCTAAAATTACAAAACATTAACAGGTAGACAGTTTGAATTTTCAGCATCAATTTTTTTCTTTTTTTGAGTTGGACTCTCACTCTGTCTCCCAGTCTAGAGTGCAGTGCCATGCTCACCACCACTGCAGCCTCAACCTGCTGGGCTCCTGCGCTGCCTCAGCCTTCCAAGTAGCCGGAACTACAGGCTTGTACTACCACGACCGGCTAATTTTTAAAAATTTATTGTAGGGTTGAGGTCTCCCTAATTTGCCTGGGCTGGTCTTGAACCCATGGGCTCAGGCAATCCACATGCCTCGGCCTCCTGAAGTGCTAGGATTATAGACTGAGCCACTGGCCCGGCCTAGTATCAATATTTTATACCATAAAGAAATGTGAATGTTTATTTTACTTTTCGTGTTACTTCATACAGTTTTGTTCTATGTTGTCTTATCAAAGATCTAACTTTATTTCTCAATTCTGATATAAACTATGATTTACATTATATATTCCTTTTTTCGGGGGGGGAGTTGGGAGTCTTACTCTGTTGCAAAGGCTAGAGTGCAGTAGCACGCTCACGGCCACCACAGCCTGGACCTGTTGGTCTCAGGCAGTCCTTCCACCTCAGCCTTCCAAGTAGCTGGAACCACAGGCGTGCACTGCCACGCCCAGCTTTTTTTTTTATTTATTGTAGAGATGAAGTCTCACCAAGTTGCCCAGGCTGGTCTCGAATCCCTGAACTCAGGCAATCCTCTCGCCTCCCAAAGTGCTGGGATTACAGGCATTAACCACTGAGCCTGGCCTTAACTTTTTAAAAGTATGATTTTCCTGTTTCTTTCTTTCTTTCCTTTCTTTTTTTTTTTTTTGAGTTTAAGTCTCACTGTGTTGCCCAGACTGGAGTGCAATGGCACGCTCACAGCCACTGCAGCCTGGACCTGTTGGGCTCAGGCAGTCCTTCCACCTCAGCCTTCCAAGTAGCTGGAACCACAGGCATGCACTACCATGCCCGGCTTATTTTTTTATTTATTGTAGAGATGAAGTCTCACCAAGTTGCCCAGGCTAGTCTCGAACCCCTGAACTCAAGCGATCCTCTCGCCTCAGCCTCCCAAAGTACTGGGATTACAGGCTTGAGGCACCATGCCCAGCCTCATTTTACATTCTCTACATATTTTTTTCCTTGAAAAGACTAACAAGAAGTTTAGTAATTGTTAAATAGACTGGAACTACTTATTTTATAGATTTCCTGTAAAATATAAATAAGATTAATCAGGCAGCAGAACTAATTGTATTCACTATACAACAAAGCAGTTATACTAGTATAGCTGTTCAGTAAGGCTTGTTTATAAACCTTATAAGTTCTTAAGATAATTATAAATTACTTCCACAAAATGGGGTAGAACTGTGGGTGTCTATAAGTAGAAGGTGACCTTGATATTCCAGAATACTAACTTAATGTTTTGATATCATTTCAGGTAACATTTCATTTGTTGCATTTCCAGTTTCTAGCACCAACTCACCAACAAAGATTTTACCAAAAACCCTAGGACCAATAAATGTGAATGTTGGACCCCAAATGGTAAGAAAATAATTTAGTTTTAGAATTGAAACTTTGCTTAGGCAAGAGTCATTTAAAGGATAATTGTATGAAAGACGTTTGATCCAATATTCCAGTTAATTTCCATGATCTCGGTCACTTTTTTAAAAAGTTTTGTTTTTATCTAAATGTAACTGATTAACTCTTGAGAAAAAGAAAGGCATTGTGCTCTTTAATGTTTAATTTTCACATATTTGAATCTGTGGGCTCTGGATGTGTGATATTAAGGTTTTGCTATGAGATTTCTCTTGTATTTAGTTGTTTAAATTAATTTGATATCTGTTACGTGTTATGTCCTCTGCCTTTTTTCTTTGTCTTAAAAAATAACTGACTATGTATTCTCATATAAATCGAATGTATGATCCAACAGTTAATCTGCATCTGGAGCTATTAATTTAAAATTCTTTCCATTAGCCGGGCTCGGTGGCTCAACCTGTAATCCCGCGCCTTTGGGAGGCTGAGGTGAGTGGATTGCCTGAGCCTGCGGGTTCGAGACCCGCTTGGGTAACTTGGCGAGACCTCATCTCTACAATAAATCAAAAAATTAGCCAGGCGTGGTAGCGTGTGCCTGTAGTTCCAGCTACTTGGAAGGCTGAGGCAGAAGGATCGCTGGAGCCCAGCAGGTCGAGGTCGGGAGCGGCCACTGCACTCCAGTCTGGGCGACTGAGTGAGACTCCAACTCAAAAAAAAAACAAAAACTCTTTCCATTAAAGACCATTTGGAGAAAAAAAACACACCAGTTCACTTTAATCTTTAGCAGTAGAGATAACAAATGAAAAATGGAATATATTTAACTGTTTCTCTAAAGGCATTCATTAATTATGCTGGAGCTTGAAATGTGTAGCACTTTCAGACTTATTTATAAATAAGGTTGCATTCAACTTATCTAAAACTATACCTAATTTTAAAAGCCTCACCCACCATTAGCAAAGTAACTTAAACATTTATCTTTTTAAAATTTTATTTATTGTAGAGATGAGGTCTCACCAAGTTGTCTAGGCTGGTCTCGAATCCCTGAGTTCAGGCAGTCCTCTTGCCTTGGCCTCCAAAAGTGCTGGGATTACAGGCTTGAGCCACCACCCCCAGCCAATTTAAACATTTAAACAGTAACTCTTCATTGTCAATATTTACATCTTCTTGTCTATAGTGCAATAATGATAAATTTTGCTCTTAATGTACAGCACTGGGGACTATGTTAAATGCAAAGCCATCAGAAATATCTTTTATCATACTTGATTTTCATAAAGTCTTTAAGACTTTAAGACACATTCTAGACCAGGTTTGGTGGCTCAGCCTGTAATCCCAGCACTTTGGGAGGCCGAGGTGAGTGGATTGCCTGAGCCTGCAGGTTCGAGACCCGCCCGGGCAACTTGATGAGACCTCGTCTCTACAATAAATCAAAAATTAGCCAGGTGTGGTAGCGCGTACCTGTGGTTCCGGCTACTTGGAAGGCTGAGGTGGAAATATCGCTGGAGCCCAGCAGGTCAAGACTGCGGTGGCCGGGAGCGTGCCACTACACTCTAACCTGGGCGATGGAGTGAGACTCCAACTCAAAAAAAAAAAAAGACACATTCTAGGCGTGATATTTTTCTTGGTGAGTTGAAGACTGTTAATCATCTGTAGAAATCGTGCTGAAGATAGAGTGTTGACTCTCAGTATGTGAAGAATGTAATCTAGCTCCAGACCTCATAGAGATGGAAGTTCAAATCAATGTCCCCATTTTTAGCACAGGATGTATTTTCACATATTTGCTGGGGCATCTGCCCCACTCCAGCTGCTACTGTAGGTGCAAATGTGATAAGGTTTAAAAGTCTGCATATTGAAATGTGATTATTTAAGCACCAAAATTAAATATACTTAAACTTTTATGAGACTGGCCTTTACAGTACTATTTTTTTTTTTTTTTGAGTTGGAGTCTCACTCTGTTGCCCAGGCTGGAGTGCAATGGCATGCTCGCAGCCACCGCAGCCTTGACCTGCTGGACTCAGGCGATCCTTTGCCTCAACCTTCCAATTCCAAGTAGCTGGAACTGCAGGCACACGCCACCACAGTTGGCTAATTTTTAAAAAATTTTATTTATTGTAGAGATGAGGTCTCACCAAGTTGCCCAAAATGGTCTCAAACCTGTGGGCTTAGGCAATCCTCTTACCTCGGCATCCCAAAGTAAAGTACTGGGATTATAGGTGTGAGCCACCTATAGTACTCTTCTAGTTTGAGTTTTTTATTTTTTTTAATGCTGCTATGACTCAAATTTGAATTTCTTTTTTAAAAACTTACATACTTTTTCTTCCTATTGTCAGTTTGAACTTAATATACATGTAAGCGCTTACCCAGTTCACTTCTGTCAATAATAAGTAACCATGCATACTACTAACTCAGTTACTGCAAATCTCAGAATCAGTAAAACAAAGGTCAGAAGAAGAAGAGGAGATTTGGGACTCTCCCGTAAACCAGGCCATCTCAATACTTTTTGCTGTCTCTGTTCTGAGTTCTTGGTCAGGAATCAGAATTCTCTTTTGGGTTTTCTAATTGTTGTAGAACCCTCTTTCTATGGCATGGTCTGCATGTGTGCCTCCAAAATTCCTGTTGAAGCCTAATCCCCATTGTGATGGCATTAAGAAGTGCAGCCTTTGGGGAAGTAATTAAGTCATGAGGACTTTACCCTCATGAATGGGATTAGTGACCTTATAAAAGAAGTTGAAGAGAGCTCTTGGGCTGTCTTCTACTGTGGGGACACTGCAAGAAGGTGCCATCTAAGAAGCAGAGAACAATCCTTCACTAGACACTGATGAATTTGGTGAATCTCCTGGTGCCTTGATGTAGGACTTCCAGCCTCCGAAACTGCAACAGATGCATTTCTATCATTTATAAGTTACTTAGCTTACTGTATTTTGTTATAGAAGACAGAGATTGATACCAAGAAATGAGGGGCTGCCATAACAAATGCCTGAAACCATGGAGGTGGCTTTGGAACTGGGTAATGGGCAGCACCTGGAAGAGTTTGGAGGAATGAGCAGAAGCCTTCATTGCCATGAATAGACCATAAAGGGAGATTCTGCTGTGGGATTGGAAGAGGAGAGCTCTAGAGAAAGCCTCAATCCTGGAGGCTACCCAAGTGGTCATGGTCAGAATGTTAGTACAAATATGGCTGGTTAAGGCCTGCTGATGAGGTCTCAGACAAGAGTGTCGGGCATGCTGTTGCAAACTGGAGAAAGGTCATCCCTGTTACAAAATGGCAAAGAACTTCACTGAATTGGATTTCTGTTCTAGTGTTTTGTGGAAGGAGGAATTTAGGAGAAATGAAATAAGGTATTTTTGTGGAAGGGATCTCAAAGCAAAGTGTTGAGGGCTTCTCTTCACTGCTGATGGTAAAATGTAAGAAGAGAGAAATGAATTAAAGGTAGAATTTGTAATCCAGGCCAGGCGTGGTGGCTCAAGCCTATAAACCTAGCACTTTGGGAGACTGAGATTAGAGGATTGCCTGAGCCCACATGTTCGGGAACAGGCCGGGCAACTTGGTGAGACCTCCTATCTACAATAAATCAAAAAATTAGCCGGGCATGGTAGTGTGCACCTGTAGTTCCAGCTACTTGGAAGGCTGAGGTGGAAGGATTGCCGGAGCACAGCAGGTCAACTCTGGGGTGGCCACGAGTGTGCCACTGCATTCCTGCCTGGGTGACGGAGTGAGACTCCAACTCAAAAAAAAATAAAAATAAAGAATTTATAATCCTAAGGGAAGCAGAACCTAAAGATTTGGGAAAGTCTCAGCTTGGTCCTGCAGAAAATGAAAAAACGTGTTCTGAATAGAACACTAAGGATGAGGCCAAGTGACCTTTTGATAAGATTAGTAGGAAGGACAGAAGCATTTCTGTGATTATATGTGATGCGCTGTCCCTCCTGTCACAGATGGGACTGAACAGTGTCAAAAGAGGGGCTTCGGGTGCTTCTGGGACCCTGGCAGTCACTGCCTGGTCCTGCCTCAAGCCTCTGCTCCCTGAGTGTTGGCACAGCACTCCTTAGCCATTCCAGGTGTGGCTTCTGCGGGTCCAGGTACAGTGCACGTTGCAGTGATGTCTTCCAGGGGGTACAGGTGGCAAACTTCAGCAGTGTCTGATGGTGCCACAGAGTGCACAGGTGTAGGGGTATGGCTGCTTCTACCTAGATTTCAAAAGATGCCCCGGAATGCCTTAGGGTCCAGGCAGAGAATTACTGCAGACACAGGGCTGCCATAAGAGCCCCACTAGAGCAATGCATAGTGGAGCTCTGGGGTGGGGCCACCCCCTAAAAGCCCAGTCTGGTAGAGCTACCCGCATGCAACTCCAGCCTGGGAGAGCCACACGCAAAAGACTCCTACCTGTAAGCACTGCAGTGTGGGCTACCCCTAAAAAAGCCATGAGGGTGGGGCCCATGGAACCTTGGGGGCCCAACCCTGCCTCCACTATCCAGAAGGTGGGATATTGAATCGAATCTTATTCTCAAGCCTTAAGATCTCATGTTTGGCTCATTGGGTTTTAGATTGGTCGGGACTTACTCTTCTCTCCTGTTTTCTTCCTTTTGGAATCGGAATGTCTATCCTGTGCCTGTCCATCCTTGGATTTTGGAAGCATATTACTTGTTTGAATTCACAGGCTCGTAGCTGGAGGGAAATTTGCCTCAGGATGAATTGTACCTTTGAGTCTCTCCCATATCTGATTGAGATGAGACTCTAGACCTCATTGATGCAGCAAGGAGTTAAGGCTACTGGAATGGAATGAATGCATTTTGCATGTGACTTTTGGGGGGCCAGGTGCTGAATGCTATGATCCGAATGTGCCCCTCCAAAAACTGTGTTGAAACGGAATCCCTGCTACTGTGGGGGTATTAAGAGGTGGGGACTTCCAGGAAGTTGCTTAAGTCTTGAGGGCCTCACCCTCATGAATGGGATTAGAACCCTTATAAAAGAGGTTGAAGGCAGCTCCCTGGCCACCTTCTGCTATGTGAGG